GAGAGGATCACTATGGATTTCGTTACTGGACTTCCGTTGACCCGGAAGAAGTTCGATACAGTTTGGGTCATTGTTGATAGGCTGACCAAGTCAGCGCATTTCATTCCTGTGGCAGTCTCCTATTCATCCGAGAGGTTAGCTGAGATCTATATCCGGAAGATTATTCGCCTTCATGGTGTGCCGGTATCTATCATTTCGAACCGGGGTACGCAGTTCACCTCGCGCTTCTGGGGAGCAGTCCAGCGAGAGTTGGGCACACGGGTTGAGTTGAGCACCGTATTTCATCCCCAGACGGACGGCCAGTCCGAGTGGACTATTCAGATTTTGGAGGATATGCTCCGAGCTTATGTTATTGACTTTGGAGGTTCGTGGGATCAGTTCTTACCTTTAGCGGAGTTTGCCTACAACAACAGCTACCAGTCGAGTATCCAGATGGCTCCTTCTGAGGCCTTATATGGTAGGCGGTGTCGGTCTCCGGTTGGATGGTTTGAGCCGGGAGAGGCTTGGTTGTTGGGTACGGATCTGGTTCAGGAGGCCTTGGACAAGGTCAGGATTATTCAGGATAGGCTTCGTTCAGCGTAGTCCAGGCAAAAGAGCTATGCAGACCGCAAGGTTCGAGATGTGGCTTTTATGGTTGGTGAGCGGGTATTGCTCCGAGTGTCGCCTATGAAAGGCGTGATGAGATTTGGGAAAAAGGGCAAGCTTAGCCCTAGCTTCATTGGTCCGTTTGAGATTCTTGACCGAGTGGGAGAGGTGGCTTATAGACTTGCATTGCCCCCTAGCTTATCAGTTGTACACCCAGTTTTTTATGTGTCCATGCTTCGGAGGTATCACGGCGATCCAGCCCACGTGTTAGATTTCAGCACTGTCCAGTTGGACAAGGATCTGTCTTATGAGGAGGAGCCGGTAGCTATTCTAGACCGGCATGTTCGTCAGTTGAGATCCAAAAGTTTCCCTTCTTTTCATGTTCAGTGGAGAGGTCAGCCTCCTGAGGCATCGACCTGGGAGTTCGAGTCCAATATGCGGAGCCGTTATCCCCATCTATTCCCCGACTTAGGTACTTCCTTCTTTTGTCCGTTCGAGGACGAACGGTTCTTTTAGAGGTGGAGAATGTGACGACCAAAAGGGTCATCACTTGTTTTCTTACTCATTCCGTGCTTTCGAGGCCTTGAAAACCTCATTTATGGTTGCCTCGATTTGGGTGCGCAGTCTGGGCGCGTAGCCGGAAAGCTTAAATACGAATTCTGTGAGAAAAATGCTAAATTTTGATATTAAAATGAATAAATTTGACTTCGGTCAACATTTTGGGTAAACGGACCCGGACCCGTGATTTGACGGTCCCGGAAGGTCCGTAGGAAAATATGGGACTTGGGCGTATGCCCGGAATCGAATTCCGAGGTCCCAAGCCCGAGAAATGAATTTTTGAGTAAAATTGTTTTTTTGAAATTTATGAAGAAAATTGAAATGAAAATTGGTTAGAACGTGTTGGTGTCGGGCCCATATTTTGGTTCCGGCGCCCAGTACAGGTCTTATATGTGATTTAAGATATTTCTAAAAAGTTTGGTTGAAATCGGACGTCGTTTGACGTGTTTCGGACTATAAGTTCTAAATTTGAAAGTTAATGAAGTTTGAGGAAAAACTGGTGATTTTGAGGTTTAATTCGTTGTATATGATGTTATTTGGCGAGTTGATCACACAGATAAGTTCGTGGGATGTTGTTGAGTTAGTTCATGTAATTGGTTAGGAGCCCCGAAGGCTTGGGTGTGATTTGATGTGTTTCGGGATGGGTTTAGCCTCAAAAATGTTGCAGAAATAGCTGTTGTTGGTTGCCCAGTTATTCCTTCTATGCGATCGCATAAGAGGTGTCGCGATTGTATAGAGCAAACATAGGGGGTTCAGAAATCCTTCTATGCGATCGCATTCTCCTCTCCGCGATCGCGATGTATAAAGCAAGCTTTCATTATTTTCCTTCTACGCGATCGCGTGTTATTGTCCGCGATCGCAGTACTCAGAAACTCTACTCTATGCGATCGCAACCTTATGTACGCGATCGCAGTGCACAGCAGGCCTTACCCTATGCGATCGCAATCTCCTTCCCGCGATCGCGATGAATAATTTGCCCAGTTATATTTTTAATTTCCAGAACAGTGTAGTTACGGGATTTTCATAAACACTCACGAACTCCTTCTCCTCCAAGGTCCTTAGGCATCCATTGAAGCTCTCTTTCACCAACACTTCTTGGGATAGTAAATTTCAACTCGTTTCCTTCAACTTTCATCAACATCTAATGAATTCCTAAGCCTAAAACATGTAATTTAGGATAGAAATTGGGGGAATTGGGTAGAGTTAGAGCTTTTTATTTTTTCTTGATTTAGACCTCGTTTTGGGCTCGAATTTGAAAATAAATTATATATTCGGGCTCGTGGGTGAATGGGGGATATGAATTTGGTCTAAACCTCATGTTTTGACCAAGCGGGCCCGGGGGCGATTTTTGGGATTTTGGGAAGAAAGCTTGGAAATCTATAATTAGGCATTGGGATTTGTTTAGCGTATATTGATACTATGAAGTCATTATTGTATAGATTTGATTGAGTTGGAGCCGAATTCGAGAGGGAAAGCGGTTGTTGTGGATTGATTTGGCCGTGGAAGTTGAGGTAAGTGTTTGGTCTAACTTTAGCTTGAGGGAATAGGAGTTGAGTCTTATTTGCTACTTGCTAATTGTCGAATACGATATATAGGCATGGTGACGAGTATCTATACATTGGTGTCTAGCATGACCGTGAGTCCTTATATTGCGAATATCCTGGTTTTGTTATAGCTTCCATACTTAATTGATGATTTCTATATGTTGTAAAGAGTATGTGAAAGGAAATTGTGATCGTTGAACTTCGTGGAGCATTGGCTCGAGTTGATATACAAATTGTAAAGGTATATGAGATATTTAAATCCTTGGAGCGTTGGCTCAAGTGACAATGTGAACTATGAGATGAAAGTGAAAGAAATAGAAAGAGTTATTGGTTTATTCCCTTGCCGGGACGTTTTGTTGTTTTGTTGATTTTCTCCCTTGCCGGGATATGGAAATTTATTGATATTGTTCCCTTGCCGGGATTTAATTGTTTAATTGCATTCCCTTGCCGGATTTCTATCATTATTTGTTTACTTTCTTGTCTCTTATTTGTGATTGTTGTTTGGGTGAGGAAGAGTGATAAAGCACGAAGGGTGATGCCGTGCATTGTATGATATTTGTGGATCGGGTTGCGCACCGCAACAGTGTTAAATGATATGGATCGGGTTGCACGCCGCAACAATGATATTTGTGGATTGGGTTGCACGCCGCAACAATGCTAAATGATATGGATCGGGTTGCACGCAGCAACAGTGTTGTTATATATTGGGATCGGGTTGCGCGCCGCAACAATTATTGATACAAGTGTGTTTATTTTGGATATTAGTTTCTTTGTTCGCTGTAAATTCTAAGCTGCCCTTAGACTGTTACTCTGGATTTATTGTTAGCACTGGTATACCCCCACAACATGTTTCCCCCTCCCATCTTTACTTGTTTATTCCTGTTTTGTTTTTCCGCTGTATATTATATAACTGCACAGGTTTAATTGGTAGTCTGGTCCTAGCCTCGTCACTACTTCGCCGAGGTTAGGCTTGGCACTTACCAGCACATGGGGTCGGTTGTGTTGATACTACACTCTGTGCTATTTTGCACAGATCCAGGTTTTGGGCAGCAGCAGCAGTAGCACGGGAGCAGGCTTTCAGTCCAGCGAGACACCGAGGTAGCCTTGCAGGCGTCCGCAGGCCCGGCGTCTTCCCTATCTTTTACTTTAGACTGTTATCTCATTGTATCCGAGACAAATACATATATTTCTTTCAGACATTGTATTTAGTATTCTAGATGTTCGTGAGTATTGTGACACCAGTCTTGGGTAGAGGCTTATGTTGAATTTTCCGCATTTCTATTCAGTTTTCTATAATTTAAGACTTCCGCTTATTATTTAATTTCGTTGCTTTTATATTATTGCTGATAATTGCTAATAGAGGTAAATTGATTAATGATAAAGTAATAAATGTTTGGTTTGCCTAGCTCCCAATAGTAGGCGCCATCACGACCCCGAGGGTGGGAAATCTAGATCGTGACAAGTTGGTATCAGAGCTCTAGGTTACATAAAATAACAATTTCTTAAAGTAATATTTTCTTTCCTGCTATAACTCTTTTATTCATTATTGTCTTTATAGTGATTCATTTTTTCAATAATAATTATGGCGGAGAAAATGCATAGCCACTCTATCCGTCCAAAAGCAATAACCACATCCAACAGAATGCGGGAAAAAGAAGAAGTTAAGAACGAATTTAATTGACGAAAAATGAATTGAGCCAAATTAGGGTTTATATCTAAAGTATGAAATAAAAATACAAGTGTTTACTAAAAGGAATCATAAAAGACAAACAAACAAATGAAAATACATACTTAAATTGAACATATTGAGTTGTGACCTACTATCATTTAATCTAAATTCATCAAATTTATCATGACTCTAGCAAATTTTGAACAAGTAATTGTCCAACATATTTTTTATTCAGTCCATTTTAACTCGCTTAAATTTAGTCAATCTATTCATTTGATAACATCTAATCAAAATAGCAAATAGATATGTGGATGGGGGTACTAACAAAGGGGAAGAATATTGAACTTAAACCATTTTAATTAACCAAGAGTATATTTAATCTATATCGAATAATTCAGGTATATATGTTGTCCTTTACCCTTTAATTAAATACACTTAACCTTTTTCTAAAATAAAAAAATAAATTTTAAAATAGTTAATTGACATGCATTAGCTGAAAAGGGTAAATCTAAGCCATTTTGTTAACGGCAAGGGTATTAAAAAGTCACATTGCAAACGGAGGGTAAATCTGCTCTATTTTAAATACTATAGGGGTATATTTGGACCTTTTCGCAACCAAAAAAAAAAAAAAAAAAAGACACAACTTGAGATGCCAATATTCTACGTTTATATATATATAGAAGTTAGCCACCTTACACAAGCTATATATCAACCATTCACAAAATCTTAACCAACCTCTCAGTTCATACTAACACCATTTGATCCTATAGTAAAACAATACATGTGAGTATCAAAATAGTGTTTTTGAATTTCATGCACTTTCCACAATCAGTAGTATCTGGGACGAGGTGGAGCGTATACACCAGGATTCTGTGCTCCGGAAGGAAAATTTCCATATGGCGGTCTTGGAGCTGGAACCCCATGAGGAAAGCCTAACGAAAAGACGAAACGAGAAGATTAAGAAACTTGTTTTGTTCTCTTTAACAAGAACAATTATGCCAGAAATACATGGTGAGGAGCATATGTTGCACGAAATACAGCTAAATTCTAGTTTGAAGAGTTTTCTCCAATAAAGTTCCCATTGCAGCTCTTTAACCCTTTTGTTTCCTGATTAACATCGTTTTCGACATTTCAACTCAGCTATAGCAATTATTAGAGCACAAAGTCTCATAGCAGCAGAAAATTTGCAAACCAAGTCATACTTTGTCACTCCCCTCTTATACAATCGTGTAAACGACTGTGTCACAAAAAGTTATGCAAAGTTTAAACGCAGTACCACCAAAAGTACTCTACACATTTCCAATGGTTTTCTCATTCCAAGGTTTTTATCAGGAAAAGCTATAAAAATGCAAGTAATATGAAAATGGAGTAAGAGGAAAAGACAGCAAATTAAGTTACCATATGGTGCTGGCATCCTCGATTCAAATGCAGGTACTCTCGAGTCAGGTAGCAGATATCTTGGACCAGCAGACGTCCTCAGGTATGGATCATTCGTGCTGCTCCGGTGTAACTCAGCTGCTTTCCAAGCTCCATAACCCACATGAGGCTCATAAATCCCTCCATGGATAGCTGATTGAGCTTCCATCTCATAACCCCTTGAATTGCCGTATGAACCGCGACTTCCATGGCGATCAAAATCACCTATGGGGTCGTAACTGGAAGGGGTCGCGAAGTAGGTTTCACGGGGTGCTTGCAGTGGAGGCTGAGCATACGAACTATTTGGATGTCCACCTATCCAAAGGTAATATATATGCATGGGTATTCCAAGAAATACAAGCAAAAAAGCAATACAAGTTTAAGCATCACGAAGAAGAAGTAAAAGACCTGATAAATTTCCGTGACTCGGCAATGAGGAACCACCGTATGATTGGCAATGGCGCTGCATTGCTGGGCTGTTAAGTAACTGCACAGAACTTTCACGAGAATAAGGAGTAATTTCCCTCTTTGAATTCACGTTTGCTTTCATCTCATCCAAGCATCTCTGAGCCTCCGCTCTGCCAAGTTCTTCAAATCGTACCTGTGACATGCAAAACGAGGCATAAATGAGAAATATGAAAACAAAGATTTACAGGTTTTAGTGTTGCACTTTTAAAATCATTCACCTCATCAAAGTACTCATCTGCTCGAGGCATATCTTTACTCGTAGGTAAAACAAAATTCACTGCAAGGTAAAATTATAGGTTACAATAGAAAAGGGGAAATAATATTAAGACAAGTGATGAGAAAAGCTAGAAAAGCGTATGCAAAAACCAATCTCTGTGGTACCTAACATTTCATTTACTGCTTCGGCAGGAACCTCCTTGCCCATTTCTTTGAATCGCTTCTCACCACGGAGCTTGAGCTCTTCAGGTGTTGGAACAATCACAACAGCAATCTGATTCAGAGGCAAAACAAACAGAGAGATGAGGATGCTTCATTAAAGGCCTATTAGGAGAGTAGTCAGCAGAGACTTTTGCCAGCCTAAAAGTGCGTCCTTTTCCCCAAGAGAATAATTTTCTGTACCTTCTTATAGTTTGCAAAAGGCTTCAATTTGCGTTTGCGAGCATTTTTGTAGACATTTGTCTGATCAATTATGAAATTACGAGGAATCCGGGAAGCCCTAGACAAAAGAGTGTTGAATATTCCAGTAGCACGGTCCATTAAACGTTCAAATCTTTCACCATAGTTATTTTTGCGCAGCAAACCAGGAACCTGTAAGGAGATGAATTACATGTTATGGAAGTAGCAACTGACGGACAAGCTTCCGTATTTTTCATAAATGAGAAACACCAGCACCACTTCTATTTTAAAAGAAAAAAAAGGAGCAGTAAGATATGAAACCTTCATTAGATCCAAAGCCAAATTAGTTCCAAGCAAAACATATCGCTTTTCTGGATGTTCCGTCACCCATTTCTCAGCCCAGGTACTCTTGCCGGAAGCAGGCAGTCCTACCATCATCATAACTTCACAATCGCACAGATTCAGAAAGCTAGGGCCTGTTATGGCTTTCCCATCTTCCATGGCACAAGACCATGGTCTATATCCTTCCACAGGAGCTAATCCGTCGTCTATGCTAAACTGCATGTGCACAACTACATTTTTAAGCAAGACATGGGGGAAAAGAGCTGAATGCCATTGTAGATTTTTCATTGGACAATCCACCACTTCAAGGCCAGTTGGACCTGCATTAAATTGCTTTGCTATTCCCAGCCACTTCCCATTTTTAGAGAAACCTATGGAAGCCAAAGGGCTAGACTCAAGGTCAACACAACAAATTATGGTGTCACCAACCCCAAATTTTTCACCATATTCAGAAAACTGTCCATGACTTGAAAATTTTCCAGTACCCCCAAACCCAAAACTGTGAAGGGTTTCCCCAAGGTTTCCTACTGCATCATCTCCCCTTGAGATGCCAACACGACAGAGATGTTGCTGATCTAGTGGTGTATCTTCCATGTCTACGGGCTGATCTGAAACAATTCTGCAACCAAAGCAGTACTTTCCTCCAGTGATTCCCATATTGGCTCGAGCACCTGACCAACAATAAGCAAATCCTTGCTCATAAAGCGCTGAACCTTGTAATCCATTTCCTTCAACATTGAAATCTGAAAGAAAGAATTATCCACATCAAACACAATACTTTGAGGATTAGACTAATAAATAACACCTACCAACAAAGTCACAGCAAACAGATGTGCCACTGGCTAATCAGCTCTCTAACTTGACTTTTAAAAAAAAACAATTGATAGTCATATTTTATTGATGAAGTACCAAGACGGTACAGGACAGTACAGGACCCGACATCATTCTATACATCAGACTAGCATTTGATCCCTCCTAACAAACTCAAAAAGTCCATACACTGATCCAAACTATATGACATACTACTTTTATACCAAAAATATAAATTATGCAAACATTTATGTTAATTCTTGAAATATTCAGCTCTCAAAATTTACTAGTTCTCCCATCCCCAAGTCCACTCTCAAATTTAATGATATTAACAACACTATGACTAAGGGAAACAACCATCCAAGAAAATTAGGCAGAAGCAACATATAAGCACCTAAACATGGGCAATTCATATTCCTACTAACAAGCAAAATAAGATATTTGGTCGACGGTACCAAAAATTAGTCACAAGGAAGTGCCAGAAAACAATATCGCCTACCATTCCAGGAACAGCTAACTCAAAAGAACACAGAGTAAGCTTTGAAAAAGCTGACAAGACCCTTCAGCCAAGCCAGATATTCATGCCCAACATAAACTACATGTTTGCTACAAAATATCCAGATTTAAAAAGGTAACTTTCATAAGCTGGGATAAAGCTAGCATAGTCCATTTGCCCTACCCCCTCTCCCTCCCCC